TACTATATTTATACTTTAAAGGGTCATTCAGTTAACATGACGACTTTTTTCTTGTTACAGTATACTGAATATCTGTAAGTATATCTCAGTATACTCACAGAGAACTTAATGTGAAGAATTCAGGGTTCTTTTGGCATGTGTGTGTGTGTGTGTGTGGCATGCATGCGTATGTGTGTATGTGTTTATATCTGTACGAATGCATATGTCCATGCAGGTACACATGTGTGTGGAAGTCAGGGGGTGATATTGAACATCTGACTTGATCACTCTCCACCTTATATACTGAAGGTAGGATCTCTCAGTTGAACCCAGAGTTCACTGATTCAGCTACTTTAGCTAGACAGCTTGCTGGGGGGATCCCATCTCCACTTCCCAAGCACAGGGATTACAGGTGGGCCACCATGCTTGTCCAGTATCTGCATGGGTACCAGGGATCTAAACCTTGGTTCCCAGCTGAGCCATCTCTCCAGTCCTGTCAAAAAGCATCTCACATTCTGGAGTAATTCATCCTATTAGCAAAATCATTACTACATTAATTTTATTAGAGCGTTTCATGTCACTAAGGGAAGGAAGAAATCATGAAATCACTATCTTTGAAAACAAATGATGGAATTAATCTAACTATTTATGAACACTAACTGTGGTCCCTCTCACCTTTGTTTTCAATGAATTTTTCTAGTGGATTTGTGGAACTGTGGCTATTATGAATAAGCCCATGTAAGACCTATGGGACCTGGGACTGGAGAGATGGTTGGGTGGTTAAGAGGACTCACTGCTCTTCCAGAGGACCCAAGTTCAGTTTCCAGGATCCACATCAGGCTGCTTACAACTGCCTATAACTCCAGCTCCACAGGATCCTCCCTGGGCACTGTATATACATGCACATATCCACAACAAGCATGCACACATAATTTTTAAATAATTTTAAAGTAAATCTTATTAAAAAGAAGTGTCAATGCCTGAAGCTATTTCCTTTACCCAGGTTGAAAGGGTTTTGATGATTTTGGGATCTTGGCCGTGAGCCCAAGAGCAGAGTGGGGAAGAGCCCAAGTGTGGCCTGCTCATCTGCTAACAGTGGTCCAGTTTTATGATTCTACATTTTGTGTCCCTTAGCAAGTAACTATATCTTTACTCATGAGTAGAAACACTGGAGCTGGAGAGGTAACTCAGCAGTTAAGAGCCCTAGGTGCTCTTGCTGAGAACCCAGGTTCGGTTTCCAGCACCCACATGGCAGCTAACAACCATCCGTAACTGCAGTTCCAGAGTAATCTGACACCCTCTTCTGACCTCCATGGACATTCATGACATGGGTGCGCTTACACACATGCAAGTAATAAACTCATACACACAAAATAAAACTAGTAATAAATAAATAGAAACACTGAAAAATCAGGAGAAAAAAAAATACCTAAGTTTGCTTCAAGTTTAAAAGTAAAAACTCTACCACACATCAAAACAGGTAAGATATTTCACTGTCCTCCACTCCCGAGGGAGAAAATACAAGAATATGAATACTATAATATAAGCCCAGTCTGTATTATGCGCTATGTCTAAAATGCTACAAAGTTGAGAAGAAAAAGATAGTCTATCCAGTTGAGAAGTCTAGAAGATACTTATTGGAAAAAAAAATAGACATAGTCTTGAAGATTAGTATTTTTCCAAGCAGAATGGGGGAAGGCCATTCCAGGGTGCTCTGGTTTGGAAGGTGAGTATCCTCTTCAAAGGCCCATGTGTGACAGGTTGGATACCTAGCATGGCACTGCTGGAAAAGGGCAGAGCTGTTAGGAAGTGTGTCCCATTGGGAGGTCCTTAGGTCATTGTGAGCATGTATTACACAGTGATGTCCTCCATACTGAAACAGGTGTGGCTCACTAGACCCAGGAAGCAAAACTTCACAAGTCTGAGAAAGCTGAAACCTACAAGATTCAAGGGCCTCTCTCCTGGGTTTTAGAGGTAGTAAGCAACTGCTAGGGGAGGAGATGGCCACCAGCCCGGCTATGGAGAGGAGATTCTGGACCTGTAGAGCTGCCTGCAAGTCATGCAGAGGGCTCCAGGGGCTCGGTTTTTTTGACTCATCACCATGTTGTTGGGGTGGGCTTTCCAGTAACGCACCTGTATCTGAGTTGTCCCTGTTCTTGTAAGTAATCCCTCATGTATATTCCTATAAATAACCCCCCAAAACACATTGGTTCACTGAGTTTGGTAGAATCATTACTTTGGTCCATCGTGGGATCCCTATCCAGAATAAGCAGACTATGTGTGGTATGTCTCCCCAGGAAAAGTCTCATACAATGGTATGCCCCTGTAAGAGACCGTATGACCCCATCCACTCGTCTTACCCCCACACTGCTTTCTGTGAGATTGTGAGCATCTTGTTCCAACACATACTCTCCACCACTGCCATCCATCTCATAGGGCGATGCATTCAAGGTGGAGCCATCGCCTATCCCAGTCTATGCTATCTGAAATCTGAGCCTTCAAAACTTGAGCTAAATAAACCTTTTCTCTTTAGAAAGCTGACTGCCTACAGTATCTTGTTGTGGCAATAAGAAGATGATTAATCACATAGATAAACGGGATAGCAAGAAACAAGGAAGGGAGACAGAAAGCATGCAGTCAGTGTACGTCCAACAGAGTTCTCACTGACCAGGTCTTGAGCTTCCTGCCAGTCCCTGGCTTTGGTCAAAGATTGCAGTGTCTCTTCCTAAACGGTGTAATCTATTTAACTCTGAAACAAATGGCCTTCCTATTCGCAAGGAATTCTGAGCTCAATCCAGGGAGCACAGGACAGTGATGGAAAGGCCCCAAGCAGAGACCTTAAAGTACAGGGCAATGCCTGGAGATGATCAATCTGGCAATGGCATAGATAAAAATAGTGGGAGGACAGGATGAAGAGATGGCTCAGTAGTTAGCAGCACCTAGTTTCCTACACCCATGTTGGGAAGCTCACAACCACCAGGAGGATTCAGTACCTTTGACTTCCTCAGGTACTGCACATAGTTTTTTAAATAATAAAATAGAGAATCTTTTAAAAATAAATGGAAAAGGGCTGGGGAGCTGGCATAGCCATTAAAGGCCCAGGCTCACAACCAAAAAGACAGAAATAAATGGAAGAGTAACAAGCATATAGGACGCACTGCACCTACAATTTGATAACTCAAGCACTACACTGAGGGTCTGAAGCCAAGTGATTACTGCTTCTTTTGTACCCAAAGTCTCATATAAAATGGTTACTTAATTCCCAGAGAACTTTACAACCCCACTCTAGTCTTCTCTGAATTCTTTGTAATAAAAAAAGTCTGACTCTATTTTTAATGTTGGACCATTGACAGCTTTCAAGCCTCATCACTTCCTCCTTTCAGCCCAACATCTGCACAAGCTAGTGATAAAGTCTGGACACTGCTTCCCTGGGTCATCAGGAAACCCAAACTCCATCCCCCATACAGAAGCCCTCACTCTGACCCATTCCCCAACCACAGAACAAACCAAAGGCCTCTACCCTCCCTCATTCAAGCTAAATAGACCATTCTGGGTGCCACCCTATTCTCTCCAGAAAGCCTGACCAAGTGAATGATGAATCTAAGATTCTTCTGACATTTTGTGGCTCTAACAGTTTTGACATCTAACCAATTTGGGATAGGAGGACTGATATCAACCTCCACAGCCATGGTTTGATTATAAAATATATCCCATAGGTTCATGTGTTTAAACATTTGGTCCCCAACTGGTGGCACCGTTTAGAAAAGTTATGGAATTTTCAGGAGGTGGAGCCTTGCTGGAGGAAGTGCATCACTGGGCCGGCTTCTAGGACTTATAGCCTAGTCCCACTTCCTGTATGCATATGCAATGTCATCAGCCAGGGTCTTCCACCACCATGCTTTTTCTGCCTGTTGCCATATCTTCCCAGCTGTGATGGACTCTATCTCTTTGGAACTATAAACCAAAATAAGTCCTTCCTTTCTTAAGTTTTGTTTCCAGGGTATTTTATCATAGCAACAGAAAGGAAACTAGGACAACAGTGTAACTACAACTCTCAAACAGTAAGCACCTGCACCATCCTTATTATATCTAGATTACAAGTAGAAGATGTAGAGAAGAGATACAATGGAAATCTGACAAGGCTCTTGAGTATAAGAAACCACAAAGGGATGCCTGTTTATTGAAGACCTACAGCCTACAGAGTGGTTCAATGTTGATTATGTAGAAGGGTACCTTGATCCATTTCCTGTGGCTATAACAAAACACCTGAGACCAGGTAATCTATAAAGAACAGAAGTGTATTTGGGTTGTGGTTCTTGAGCACAATACCAACATATGCCTGGCTTCTGCTGAGGGCCTTCTTCCTGTGTCAGAACAGGGCAGAGGACACCACGAGACATAACAAGCACACTGGGTTGAGCTCTCTTCCCTTTCTTATAAGCCACTAATGCCATCATGGGGGCCCCCACCGTCATGACCCACTGAACCCTAATTACCTCCCAAAAGCTCCCAAATATTAACAGAGGAATCCGAGGATTAAGTTTCCAACACAGAAACTTTTGGAAGACCCACGCAAACTGCAGCAAATGGTGATGTAATTCCCTTAAATCTCTAGTTACTGACATTGAAATAATTTCGGGTTCATGTGGGTAGGTACACGGATCTGGCTTCCTCCCTGACCAAGTCTGAGACACAGCAGAGTCCCAGGAGCCACACACTGGGCTTTCCCATCAGCACTTACTGCTAACTAGAAGTCTCTACACACGTTAGAATGGAAAGAGATGCATGCTCTTGGCATTCGGAGTTAGACTGTCAGGGTAACTGAAGGGCTAAGCTGGGCAGTCACAGTCATGCTGTCAGCTCGCTCTTGGCTGTAAATCAGATGATAACGTTTCTAAGTGAGCAGTACAGAAAGTGTTCCGGTGTCTTTTCAGCCATATCTAGACTCCTAAAGGTCATGATCATAAAAAACAGATACATCCTCCAAAAGAGCCTCTAACACCAGAGTGTTAAGTACTTACACATCTTTAGCTGCTCCTGCAGGACCTAGGGAAAAAAAGAAAAAGAAATTTGTACTGGTTTGATAGCAGTGCTACAAATTAAGCCCAGTACCTAACAACATGATACTCTAAGAAAGAACAAAAAAAAATTTTTTTTAATTTCAAAAGAGGTGGGGCAAGACAAGAAAATCATAAAATTTAACTCAAGTTTTACATTTGGGGCTTAGAAATGATTCTGTCCATTTGTAACAATTGCCATAAATTATAAGCTCTTGTTTCTAAAAAGGACTGTACAGATTTGAACTCCCACGGCTGCAGAAATGTGATTTGGTCAGTGGAGTGCTTGCCTACAGTGCAAGAAGTTCTGGGTTTGCTCCCCAGCACTGCAGAAACTGGGTGTGGTGGCCTGTGCCTATCATCCCAGTACTTAGAAGGTGATGGCAAGAGGATCAGAGGTTCAACATCAGCCTCAGGAGTTGGAGACCAGCTTGGGATATGGAAGATCCAGCCAAAAGAAAGGAAGGAAAGGAAAGAAGGAGCGAGAGGGAGGGAAAGTGCTCGTCACCAAGTCTGACAACCCAAGTTTGAGTCCTAGAGCCCACATGGTAGAAGGGGAAAACTGACTCCCACAAGTTGTTCTCTGACCTCCACAAATGTGTTGCGGCACATGCATACCCCCAACTCACACACAGGAGG